CTGGCCCCGCCCCCGGCCCGAGGTGGCCGCGGCGACCCGCAAACCCTGGCGCCGGATCTGCGCCGCGGGAACAGGGCCCGCCCCGCGGCCGGCTGGGAAGCCCGGTGTGGATGAGACCTGACAGCGGACGGGCTGCGGAGGTGGCTTCAGATTGCCCAGGGAATTGAAAGTTAAGTGTGATTTACTTACATCTGCTCTGAGCTTCCGTTTCTGAAGTAGAAGAGAAATTACATGGGAGAATTAAACGAAGATAATGATGCTAAAGAATAATAGTGCTTCAATACTCCAGGTTCTGTATCCGACGCTTTATTTTTGGTTTGTGTGAATAACCAAACCAAAACAGAAGTTATACAAATGAGGAAAGTGAGGCAAAAATAACTATCTTACCTAACGTCATAGAGCTGATTAGATAGCCAGATTAGGTATCCAAGTACTAGTTTGGTTCCAAACTCCTTCCACCTAATAGTAAAAAAAATAGGATTTTAAGTCATTTCCTCTCAGATCCAAAATCTATTTAGGAAGAAGAAGGAATATTGTCTTTGCTGCTGCCTACCATGCTTACCTTGTTCAGTAACAACCCTGAGGGTGGCTGAGGAGTGTGACTCAGTGGTAGGGTGTGTGCAGAGACCCTGTCCTGGAACCCCAACATGAAACAAAATAAAACACACACTAAGGCCTTCTCTGGTGCCTGCAGCACTACTAACTTCTCCCTTAGCCCACCTAGCAAACACCCACCCCTCTCCAGACCCAATGTGAGTACCATCTTCTTTGCAAAGTCTCTTCTCTCTCCCCAGATCAGAGTTCCACATTCCTTTCTAACTGTTCTTCTCCACTTTATGAAGTCATCATTCTCCTAATAGCTGTTACATCTGTCTGACTCAGTAAGAGCTCCATTCTCGAACCCAAGCATTGTAGTATATGCTCAGTAAAGGCCTTCGTTCCTACCTATTATTGAACATAGCACATCCTATACTTTCTCATTCTGTTATCTTCCATTGGAAGAAATTGTCATTTTCAAAGGTTTATTTATTTATTTATTTATTTTGAGGCAGGATCTCACTATGTAGCCCAGGCTGGCCTTGAACTCCAAAGATCCCCCTGTCTCAGCTTCCCAAGTACTGGGATGACAACAGGCATGCGTCACAATGCCCTGCTCAAGGGCTCAATTTATATGCCACTTACTTCAAGAAACCTTTTTGTTAGGTTGCTTGTTAGGTTGTTTTGTTAGGGGTGTTTGTTCTGTAGTTTGTTTATTTGCATTTTGAGGGGGTTGTGGCTGTTGTTCATGTTGTTATTTTAAGGTATTAGAGATTGAAGCGAGGACTTGAGCACAGTAGACAAATGTTCTAGTGTTAAGCTACATCCCCAGCCCTTTTTATTTTATTTTATTTTTATGTATTTGGTACAGGGTCTCACTACAGAGCCCAGGCTCATAGTGATCCTCCTATTTTCAGCTTCCCCAGGCATGCATCACCATGCCCAGTTCCTTTGGCTAGCTCCTCAGACTTGGGGAGAATGAGCCTTGAAGAATGAGTGATACAGGGCTGATAAGCAACCACATAATCAAGAAAATCTGCCTTAGCACTATTGCTGTTATCTTTTCAATTCAAGGGACAAGAGGAGATACTGTTTAAAGTGATTCCTTGGTATGTTTTATCAGCTGTACCACAACTGATGTTTCTATTGAAGTTTTCTATTTTACATTGTCACACTTGAGTTTTGTAACAACATTGAAAGTCATCATCACATTCATTTCACAAATAAGATAACTCGGGGGGGCTGGGGAGATGGCTCAGTGGAATAAGCGCTTCCCTAGCAAGCGCAAGGGTCTGAGTTCAATCCCCGGTTCTGCCAAAAAAAAAAAAAAGGATTTATTTTGCCATTCGTCTTCGCACGCCTTCCCCATCATATCTCTTCTGTTACCTACCAGCGCCGAAGAGGAGGAGAAGGAGGACTAGAAGACCACAACTGAACTCTCTCCCTGTCAAGATGTCTATTGGTGTGCCGATTAAAGTCCTGCATGAGGCTGAGGGCCACATTGTGACGTGTGAGACAAACACTGGTGAAGTATATTGGGGGAAGCTCATTGAAGCGGAGGACAACATGAATTGCCAGATGTCCAACATCACAGTCACATACAGAGAGGGTCGAGTGGCACAGCTAGAGCAGGTATACATCCGTGGCAGCAAGATCCGCTTTCTGATTTTGCCTGACATGCTGAAAAATGCGCCCATGTTAAAGAGCATGAAAAATAAAAACCAGGGCTCAGGAGCTGGCCGAGGAAAAGCTGCTATTCTGAAGGCTCAAGTGGCTGCAAGAGGAAGAGGACATGGAATGGGACGTGGAAACATCTTCCAGAAACGA